TTATCAGGTATAACGTAATCATCATCAGATGATAACGTTTCCTTCTGAGAGCAAACTACCTTCATCGGGCTTTCAAAAGTTACGCGCCTCGAAACATGCCTTTTTGGGCGTGAGTTCTCAGCAGGCTCTTGGACTTCGATGCGCAAATTAGCGCGCATAGCTGTCCTGATTTCTTTATCACGTTGGAGGTGACGGCGACCCCCAGCGTGTTGAGTCGTTCTGGGCTTCTTCATTGGGCCCAAACTCTCTTGAACTGGAGCTTTGCCTCTCTCGTCGGGAATTGGACTGAGACGCTCCAAGACTGACTTCCTTTTCTGGGATGGTCCTGCGGGATCTCCCGGAACAGTTGTGGAAATCATCGGCGGTTTGGATTTTGGAGGCTGCTTCGGCCTGCCATACTTGCGCGCGGGTTAGTGGCGGCTTCTTGGCCACATCCTTCTGCAATCTCCTCGGGCTTCTTCAGCTTGAGCCCGTGCCTGCGCTGATAGTGCGTGGCGCTTGCGAATGCGCTCCTCCAGCGTTGATCGGTTCCGTTTGACACGGACCCATTCCATTGTTGGCGGCTTGGAGGAACCACCATTCATTGATTGTTGAGGCTTTTTGCCTCTCTTGTTCTTCAGATCCGCGTTGTAGCGGATCCCGTCAACGGACTCCATGGCCTTTGCGAACTGTTTCGCAAGGCGTTGACGTTGCCTTTGGCGGGCTCTCTTCGAGAGAGTCACCACGCCTTCCGCGGCAGAAAGGTTGGCCAGAGTAGATCCGCCTTAGTTGGGAATTGGAGGAACCTCACCCGATGCGACTTTGGCATCAAACGGGGCGAGATCTTCGTTAGTGTTTTCAACGTCTTCATACCAACGAGTTTTCCTCCTGGAGGAGAACTTGGACTTCTTAGACTTGCGTGGGGAGGTTGATCCGGACGAGGACGAAAAGTATTCCTCGAACTTATGTTGGTCGAACTCGTATTCGACCTCCTCCACGACCGGGATTGAGATCCGCGGCTGCGACGCTCCGATCTCGGCAGCGAGATCGGCGGCTCCCACTGTGGTCGCCAGATTGTTCGCGGGGAAAATCGTTTTCTTCATTGATGTCATTGTGATCTCAAAATAACAACTTTTTGTGGTTACAAAAGATCCGGTCTTTTTTAGATCCGGTTACAACGAAATCAAAGAAAATAAAAAAAAATTACAACTTTCTCCTTGTGAACAAATCGCGAGCTCCTGTTTTGCGGTCACTCGCTTTTGTGGGTTCTTTGCCAATGCCGGGGTTAATCCGTGGACCACCGCACAATCTAGATCCGGTCGGATCTACACGATTTGACGGGTATTATTTCACGAAGGGAATAATAGCCGGGAGGGATTAGTTCACTAAGGAAATAATCGCTCGGATCTCGGGATCTAAGACCAAGCTTAGATCCGGAGTGTGATCTCGTGTAGATCTCAGATCTGTTTTTCCCCTCTCTCGAACTTCTGCCTTTTGTGACGTGGATGCTCGCCGAAGATCAGATCTGGATGTCCAAGTCTTCAAAACTCTAAGCTCGATCTTCAATCCGGCAGAGTTTCGGCTCTCAAAAGTCCAACCTTTGAAAATGAACAAAAGGGGGCCTATTTATAGGCTACCCTCACTGTGCCTTGGGCACAGTGCAGCCGGCCACCTTGAGGTGGCTCGGCTCTGGGCCGACCACCTCAGGGTGGCTCGGCCACCGAGCCACCTCAGGGTGGCTCGGCTTTGGCCGAGCCACCTTGAGGCGGCTCGGTTTTGGCCGAGCCCCTCTGGGTTTGCTGTTTTTTTTCGTCGTTTTGCGCTGTATCCGTTTCTCGGTTCTGTCCGTGATTCGGTTGACTTAGATTCTGATTTTGTTGATCTGATTTGGCAGTAAATCCGCTTCTGATTTGGCAGTAAATCCGCTTCTGAGTTCGAGTCCGAAATTGATCTTGATTTGATCGTGATTCGTCCGAGTTTGTCTTTGGTTGGATCACTCGTTGACTCTTCAACACTTGGCTTGATTTCGAACGCGAATGGATTTATTCCGTTGCTTGCGTGCGATTCGTCGCCTCGTTGGTTCGTCGGTTTGTGCCGAGCTGTGCTAAGGGACCTATAAGTAATTTTATATGCCTACACCATCGCCGACAAGCTCTGCCTCCGCGGCGGCGACCGCGATCTGTACCTCGTCCTCTCCCATCTCAATCTCAATTGCAAACCTCTCCGTTCTCGCCGACCTCTTCGAACAATTATCATCAACAATGAAACCCTAGACCCCAACCTTGACCTCTGAAGTTCCCTCGACCTCGTCATCGATGTCAACCTCGTCCTCATCGTCTGCTACTCGATCCACCGTCAATAATGTCCAACCAATCTTAGCTCCTCAAACCCTAAGCCAAAGGTTATCATTCTAGTTTTATGAATTGAATTTCCATTTTTGCAAATTAATTTGGAAATTAGCTTGCGGACTGAGATTTTTTTAAATTTTTGTGATTTTTATGGTGTTCGGTTATATATTTGTTAAGCTATGTATGATTGGATCTAGTGATGTATATCATTCTGTCAATATTTTTCCTTTGATTGGGGTTATTGTGGCATTTTAAGGTGAGTTGTGATGATTATTCATAAGGCATGTTTGCACGTTTGAAAAAGTTATGCTCTATTTGAATTTTTTTTGATATGGCATAAGTGGCTTCTTGTGGCATTGATTATCGCAATAAACAATGTATATTATTTTGCAGATGATGTATTCTTTGAGTTCTTTGCGCTTGGTATAGTAAAAAAATACATGATTAGTAATTTTAATGCTATCTTGTTCAATATGTTCATGATATTCCTGAATGGGTTATGTACATGGCCGTGCATATTTTGATAATTCAAAAAGTTTACAAAAAGCCCCGTAAATTTTGCAAAAAGCCCCAATAGTTTACAAAAAAACCCTAAAGTTTACAAAAAATACCCTAAAGTATTATACATATATAGCTACTATAGTTAAATGAGCAAATGGGTGGCCAGTTTATTAAATGGGCAGGCAAAAACCCGTCCATTTAGAAAATATTAAATGAGTCATAAATGGGTAAATTGGTAAAACATGCCCGCCCATTTATGACCCGCCCATTTAATACCCAAACCCACTCATTTAACATCCCCTTCATCATCCTTTTTTAAAACTGTTAGATACACTTGCATCTCTTTTGAAATTGTAGCATTTTCTCAAAATGATAATTTTTGTGGTAGTTTTGTAAAACCTCTGAATTACCTACCTAGCCGATTTATCGGTATGAAAGTGGATTATTATTATTATATCGGTAAATTAGCACCTCAATATCTCATAGTTTCCCTTACATTGCAGTCATGCACTGCACTTATATACTCGAAGTTTTAGAAATTGAAACTAAGTTTACTAACTTCTATTGTGTAAATATTAGAATTAGAATGCATGTTAATGTTTACTAAATTTGTTGTTAACCTATCCAATTCTATTTTAAAATAAAAATACTTAAAATAGAATGAAGGTGAGGTTAATAGCAAATTCAATAAATGTTAAGGGTCCAAAAGTTTTAAACTAAAATGCGAATGTCACATGAGAATTTATAGATAAATATTCTAACGTTAATTGCATGATTGAAAGTCCTAAAACACTTCAAGGCATATAAATGCTGCGGTAAAATAAGTGAAGGTATAAAAGTGAAAAGGGTGGCACTAGGGGCACACCCTCAACCACACCTCCAATCACATCCCCCTCTCTCATTTGCTACAGTGCACCAGGCCTCACATGAGATTTTAAAAATTTAAAATCTCATGTGAGGCTCGGTGTACTGTAACAAATGAGAGAGAAGGTGTGGTTGGAGGTGTGGTTGAGAATATGCCCCTATCATTTTCCAAGTGAAAATTAGAGGAAACTATGTACATGACCTAGGCTAGATGCTAAGTAACCTACGGAATATTGCGATACCTAGATTTCATTGGGTGACGTAATGCTGCGCTCAGCAGCGTTAACCTCATTGGCTCGTATTCTATTTGAAACGTGACACAAATGAAGATTTCCAACATCTGACTGGCCTTCTGGTGGGCCCAGACAATTTCTGTTGAAAACGGTAGCGGAGACCTGCACACAAAACATGTTTCAACTCCACCGACCTAAAACTGAAAAACAAACAATAAAAAATAAATGCATGCAATCAATTCTTAATTTGGTCAGACTTTTTTCTTAAGAAAACTTTAATCTATCGCTAATAGTCAAATTAATTTCGGTCGGTTCAGTTCGATTTCAAATGTAAATGGTACCAACTATTTTGACAAAATTTGTAAAGATGCAACCAAACCAATCGCTCATTCACATCTACTTAGAACACTCCAGAATTTAGCCCTGTAAGTTAAGGATAAATTTTTTTTTATCAGAACACCATCCTATGCTTTTTACTAATCGCTCATTCACATCTACTTAGAACACTTCTCAGAATGATTCTGATAGAATTTTATACGCATAATTTATAAGGATTTTAGTCCTCGTTTGTCGAAAGACAGTGATGAGTCCATCTCCTCGATTATAACTGTTGATTATTTAGTATGCGATCACGGCTAGTTTTAAATTTAATAGTCATATTATTTCCTTTTGATTTACATATATGTTTTATGCGTAGGAGATGAATCTGCTTACTAAATATATAAACCACGAACATTAATCATGATTAACAGCAGTAAACACCTTAAACATTAATCATGATTAACAGCAATAAACACCTTACTTATTTCTAAATCACAGTGAAGAGCACCTGAGTCCCACCTGAGACCAAGTGGCAACCCCATCCCAAACGTTCATGAACACGTCATTCCCCTCCCCCTTCTATATATATCATAAAAATCCATGCACAGCCTCCCCACCTCCTCCCTCCCCCTCAGAACCGCTACCCACCCGTCACCCTCTGCATGGACCTCCCCACACAATGGCCGAGCCCGTCGTCGCCGTCCAATCGCCTCTCCAAGTCCAACCTCACCGTCCGTCCCGCTCCGCTACGTCAATGCCCGTCCCACGGCGGTCCCCGCAGTCCGAAGAGGTTCCCTCGGCGATCCCACCGTCAATCTAGCGACCCCGCTCCGGAGGCGTGCGGCCGCATGTCGGGAGTGGGGATCTTTCAGGCGGTGACCACGGGGTGGCCGCGAGGCGGGGAGGAGTGAGGAGGTCTGGGGAGTTCTTCGGAGGTCCGGCTGAGGAGAAGGGGAGGTTTGGGAATGACCCGGTGAGCTATCAAGGGTATGGGAGCAGGCTCGGAGTTGAGAAGGGGGCTGTTCTTGATTGGGGGGATTATTTCTATCTTGAGGTTTTCCCTGAGGGGAGGAGGGTGCTTGAGAAGTGGCCTGGCTCTTGCAGGTACGTGTGGGGGTACTCACAGGTGTTTAGTAATTTAGTATTATTTTATAAAATTATAACAAAAAATAAAAATTATTATTTTCTTTTATAATTCAGATCCTCTTCCATACCCTAGTTTGTTTTGAACAAGGAAAAGGAATGAGTGTAATACGCGGGGGAGATATGATAAGCGTAAAATTTTGTAATGAAGTGTGACCGTCCAGAAAACAGTAATTAAATGGTTTTATTAAAGGTAGTAGAATATGTTTCGGTTGGTTTGGTTTGAAGAAAAATCTAATTAACTTGAACTAATCAAGCTGATCACTCACTCAATTATCATAAATATTGCTTTCTTTCTTTCTTTCCTTTTCGCTAGCTAGTCCATAAATGTTCACTCTCTTTTTTAACTTCTCTTAAATTGTTTATTGTCCCATTGATTTGCACCATTCTTTTATCCATATGCCTCAATTTATATTTTTCGTTTACTGATTTCTCGATCCATGCTTTCCTTCCGGGTCAAGATAACCATTTTTTTAAATTAAATAAATCTAATTTCAAAACAAATTATAGCTTATCGAACATACTAGACTAATTTAGGTCGGTTCGGTTTGGTTTCAAAATTTAGAACACAGTTTGGTTCGATTTGGTTAAAAAATTATCAAAATTAAAACCGATCCAACCAACCGTTTTCCCCTAGGATAGGCAGAAATTAAGGCTGTAAAGAACAGACTCTCTACTGACAACTAATTTGAATTCCTACCTCTACAAATCTTTAATGATTCCAAAACATAGGTTTGTTTTAATTGTTTGCTCTTAACTTTCCAAGGGATGCAACTGAGGAATACAGCAACCAAGTCCTCAGCCTATGCACAACCCTAACGAAGCTGCTCTCCAAAAGCCTAGGCCTGCACGAGGACTTCCTTCTGCAAAAGTTCGGATCCGAACATGTCCAAGCGGGTATACGGGTGAACTACTACCCGAAATGCCCGCAACCCGACCTCACCCTCGGCCTCTCGCCGCATTCTGATCCCGGTGGCCTCACCGTGCTGCTCGCCGACGATGACGTGGAAGGGCTGCAGGTCCGCAAGGGCGATAAGTGGGTGGTCGTCAAGCCCGTCGCCAATGCGTTCATCGTGAACGTCGCCGATCAAGTTCAGGTACCTTTGTTTTTTCTTTGCTTTCGTTCCGTGCGTGTGTATATATAGAATAATGGAGGTTAACATATTAACGGAGGGTAAAATTTATTGCGATTATCTGAACACACAAACACGCACAATAAGAACCGCAAGCGCCAACATTTGCTAATTCAACCGATACAAGTTTGCACAATAAGGGTGTGTTTGAGACATAGTGGCCGTGAAAACAAAGAAAGTCTTTCTACAGGGACTTTCTCCAAGATAGCATTACCACGAGGACTTCTTCAAAGATGGACGTCGCGACTAGCTACGGTCTCCTCAAGAGAAAATTTATTCAATTCCAAAAAGATGACGGCCACTACCCAAAAACAAAATATTTAAAGAAAAACTCTAAAACCCTAAAAGAAGCTAGTTTAAAACAAAATTACTGAATTACCCAATAAAAAATAGTAAATTATAAATTTGAGGCCCTAAAAGATCTCAAAAACCCTAGTCACCCGCCATGGATAGGGGTGCATTCGGTGCGGATACGGCTCGGATATGATGTTTATCATATTCGTATCCGCTTACCCATCTCGGATACGGATACAGATGTATATATACCTTGGTAAGAAAAATTCATATCCATATCCGCTAAAATCAGATATGGTTACGGATATACACGCGGATATATAAGCGGATATGCATGTAGATACAAAATGGATATGAGAAAACTAGATAGTATTGAGAAAAACAAAGTTCATGTAATACAAAAGAGTTCGTTAATATATTCATTACATCTGAAAAGCTAAGATTAGGCATCTTGATCATCAAAATTAACCACAAATCTATAATTTAAGAATTAAAACTGTCGTAAGAGTATGATTAATATGCATTCGGATATTTCGGATACGGATCCGGATATTTCACTATAAAACCATATTCGTAATCATATCCTATCGGTGATAGATTTGAGTAACCATGTTTATATCCTAAAGGATACGGTTTTGAATATTTCTTCGGATACAGATACAGTTTAGCACCCCTAGCCAATGAACCTTCCTACACAATGGCCCGAGACACCGTTATGAGTGGTCTAATATATGGCTGGACTTCTAGTTTTTGGTATCTTGCTGAAAGAAAGTCCATATGTAATAATATGCTAGCTTCCAGGTTCCTTGGTACACACATGTTATTATATCTCTAATGTGCATCTAAAACTAGCTTGCAAGCGACAAGACAATGAAAATCTCATGTTTTTTACATGGATTTGTGAATCACTGGCATGTGCATGTCAATGTCTCATCATTTAAGACTCATGAGGCACGTTTATATTTGGTAGCTTTCTAACTTTTATTAGGTCCTAGTATTATCCAATTAAAATGAGAATAGATAATATTCAAATAGAAGATTTTATTTAAATAGAATACTAAAAGTGGGATAGTTTCGGAAAAAAATAATACTTTTGTGAGATAAACGGGGACACAAGAGAGTATTGATTAATGCACTTTTATCATGTGTCACCTCAATTATATATTTTCTTAAGTTATCATCGATCATTGGTTAAGCAGCACCTAATATGATACTAATACACCTCAATGATGTAATAATACATCATTTTTTGCAAAAATTACTACTAATAATTCTTATAAATTTAACTTTTTTATTATTACATTTCTCAGGCATAGTACAATATATAGAAAATATTAGTTAAATTGAGGACGTAGCTAATCGTCACGTGATTCTCACGTGACGTTTGAAACTAATGAGAAATAACATCAACAACTGTGTTTCATGAACCATAGTTGCGAATAAGATATATAGTTGAGCTAGAGAGTACAAGTGAAGATTAGTAGCTACGTCACTTGTATACAAAGAATTGAAGTACTAATTAATACACAGCAAGTTAATTAATTAATATAGTAATTTCAATATCTGATCTAATGATTATTAATTAGGTGATAAGCAATGGGATATACAAGAGCGTGGAGCACCGGGTGACCACAAACTCAACCAAGGATCGCCTCTCCATAGCTTTCTTCTACAGCCCCAACAACGACGTCCCGATCGAACCGGCACCGGAGCTCGTGTCGTCAGAGAACCCGGCCCAATATACTCGGACGACGTACAGAGAGTACAGGCTCTACATAAGGAAGAAGGGGCCCAGTGGCAAGTCTCAGGTTGAGTCCATCAAGGCAGCCGGGGAGGCAAAAAACTAGCGCTTGGGGTGAATTGAAGTTATAGTTTGTGAGCATAATTAAATAAAGGAAATTTTCTTTTCTAACTAGTATGAAAGAGAACATGGTCAAGGACATGACTTATATTAATTTAAGCATGTTTGTTTAGATTTTTTTTTCTTGTTTAGATTATGTAAATACTCTACCAATGTTGTTACATAATTTATGCGAACATCTAACGCGCATATATATATATATTTTTAAAACTTTGATAGTGTGATTTGTAATTTTCTTTGCCAAGTTTGATTATGTAAATACTTTGATTATGTAAATACTCTACCAAGAATTATATTTTTCTTTGCCAAGTTTTAAAATTTCAGCCATTTTTTATGGTTTTGAACTTTGATAGTGTGATTTGTAATTTTTAAAACGTTGGGATAGTTTTCTTTTAAAAATTATTTTAAGTTTAGTAATTGTAACTTCTATGTTTCATGTGTCAGTGGTACTTTTTTAAATGTCAGGATATTTCTTACAATTTTAAAATTTTAAGGGTGTTGTTTATAATTATTAAAACTATAAATTAATTTTAGAAAAATTTAAATTTTTAGCGGTCTACTAATAGTTTCCAGATTTGATGTGTACTTGTTAAAAATTTTGAAAATTTTGAGTTTTTTATGATTTTTAAATTTTGAAGGAGTTTTTTTATAATTTTTGTAACTTTAAGGTTAATTTCGGTAAATTTTAAAATTTTAGGTGTCTAAGGGTAATATCTTGAATTTATATTTTATTATTTGTAAATTTTATAATTTTAGGGTGAGTTTTTATAATTTAAACTTTTGAGGTTGTTTCCATAATTTTTCAGATATTTAAATTCTTTAGAGGATGCTATTAATTTCTTAATTTCATGTTTGTTGCTTTAAGTTTTGAAATTTTAGAAATTTTTAGGTGCATCATGGTAATCCCTTAAATTCATCTATGTTGTTTACAAGTTATGAGATTTTAGAATTTTTAGGGTGCCTGTTTGTGAACTTTTGAGAGTGTTTCTATAATTTTTGAGACATTGAGGTGCTAACTGTAAATTTTAAATTCTTCGTAAATTGCTGTTAATTTCTTAATTTTATGTTTATTATTCTAAGTTTTGAGACATCGTGATGATTTTATAATTTTAAACTTTTCAATATATTTTGTGCAATTTTAAAACTTTTTAGGGTTTTTTTATAATACTTCATGTATTATACTATGTGAACTACGTATAATTTCTTTATCTTAACAAACTAATACCATAAAGATATTTTATATATTTTATTAATATTACTTTTTAAATTGTTAAGCTATAGATATTTCACGTAGGATTAGGATAGGATGTAATTATGATTAGGATAGATTAAGATATAAATGAAATATTCAAAATAGTGAATGATAATATTGACCATTGAAAGATTTTAATGAACTCGTGCTTTTAAAGGGAGTATGATATATATATATATATATATATATATTATTATATATATTATATATATATATATATATATATTATATATATATATATATATAACCTATAATATATATATATATATTCGAGAAAAGAAAAAATGAGTATTCTGTGTACAAGCACAAGTTTTTGTGCTTCGTAGTGATGCGTCATTGAAATCGGCAGCCCACATTTACATGAGTTGAGGAGTGTCTAGAATAAGAATGAGGTGCAATGAGAATATCGACACCTCACTACCAAGCACAAAATTTGTGCTTGCGCAAACCAAGCATACACATTTTTTTCAGATGAGAAAAATGAGTGCTTGGTACCAAGCATATAATTTATGCTTCTCGGTAGCTGAGTGTCATATTCCCATTCCACTCATTATCAATTCCCAACCAACTCCGCCAACCCATCGTAATATGAGCCCCGATTTCAATTGAGTGGAGAGGGAATATGTCACCTCACTACCTTAAGCTACAAAACCTTATACTATAGGACCAAGCATACACATCTCTCTCTCTTCTCTCTCTTCTCTATATATATTATATATATATATAATATATATATATATATAATATATATATATATATTATAGAGCAGATGATGAGAGAGAAGGAGGAGAGATTTAATGAGTGTCTATGTCAAGGACGCGGCATTTTCCTCCTCGTCACCTATGTGGCACAATCCACTCATCAACTCACATTCTCTCTCTACTTTATGAAGGATGGTGGAGATTGTGTCACATAGGCGTCAAGGAGGGGAATCCTCTCCTTAACAAGGCATACCCATTAATCTATATTATATATATATATATAATATATATATATATATATAATCATATATATATTATTATATATATATATATATATATATATATATATAATTTAGTGTGTCCCATTACAAACTGAAACTACTTTATTTGTTTTTCGATCTATGTATCAACTATATTATAATATATATATATATATATTATATATATAATATATATAATTTAGTGTGCTCTCAATTTAACTGAAACTACTTTTTTGTTTTCGTCTATGGTATCAAACTATTATTTCAAGATCTTCTTTACGAGAGCAAGAGTATTCTTTTGGAAGGGAATAATGACAATTCAAGAAGGACTTCGTCTCGTGAGCAGGGGTGCAAACTTATTGAATGTGATTCTTATCATATTTTTATCCGTTTACTAATCACGGATACAGATACATATATTTCCTAAAAAAAAAAACGCTTTCATATCCAAAATCAAATGTAGATACAAATTTGATGAATGGATAGGAAGTAGACACGAGAGAAGCTGACAAGGGAAAAGAAAAGACATGATATAAGAGATGTTTAAAACTAATGAATTTCTCAAATAAAAGTCCATTACTATATATGACATATCTAAAAAGAAAATGCTAAAGTATGCTATAAGAGCAATAGTATTTTTGTACTACTAGATGTAACTATTGAAACCCATAAAAACTCATAATTTCTTTGCAATTTATAAGAAATTAGAGTCCCCTCTTGTTTTTTATTAATAAGAGAATAATATAATTCTTGTAGTATAAATATTGCTACTATATCTGAAAAACTAAGATTGGATCTCTTTATCATAAATTGATCTCAATATATTAATCTAATAGAACAATTTCAATTATCGATAAAATATTCAGATACGAATACGAATACAGATACGGATACAGATATTTCCCTTCATGATCCGTGAGGCATCCATGATGGTTCCCAAGGACTCCCAACAGCCGGCAGAGTCCTGCAACGTCCACTTCCCACAGCGACCACGATTTCTCTCGATGTCGGACTCTCTTTTTGTCCCCTGCTTCTCAATTTCCAACACCTCGTTCGAACCCAAAATAATTCTAAAAATCCTTTCTTTTTCATTACCAATCCCTTTCTCCCTCGATTCTACCGACCCGAGATAAAAAAAAATATATTCCCATTTCAAATTGGGTTTTCCTTAAAACACCATTTTCTTGCTGAAAATTTTAAGGTGAGTCATGGAGCATGAGAGTTTAGTTCGGGGTTTAGGGAGGCAGAGGATGAGGTGGACCCCAGAGTTACACCATTGCTTTGAGGACGCAGTTCATCAATTGGGCGGCCCCGATCGTAAGTGTGAAATAAAGTTTTAACTTTTCCTTTTATTTGATTATATTTTGGTTGCTTTAGCTTGCAAGGTGATATTTTTATATGCATTGTTAATTATTTGCTTGTAGTATGTAGCTTAGGTGTTTGTTTATATGTGTAGGAGATAGTGGAAAAATATATTTTGGTTAACAACTTAACATTAGAAGGAACAGCAAGAGAACGAAGTTTGTTTGATGTTGAATTGGCAAAATTGCTAAGTATATGTGATTTCAACTGCTTTAGACGATTTTATTGATGCATAAAGCTTTTAGAACCCTCACTATCTTATTTATTTATTTATGACTACTAGCTTTTAGTACTGCTCTGGTTTGAGAAGTAATTATGTGATAATAAATGTCGCTATTCACGGTCTATAGGTTGTATTTGAGAGAAATAAGTATATTGACAACGGTGATCTTTAATTGCATGAAGGAGATTTCCCTTCGGGCCTGTTTGGATTTGTAGGGGTGAAGGGAAGTTAAGGGAAACTGAGAGAAGGGAAGGGAAGGGAAGGGAGTTCCCTTCCCCTTGGTTACACCCCAATTTGGGGTAACAAATTTTATACTACTAGTTCTTGTGCACGTGCAATGCACGTGGTTAAATATCAAAATTATTATTATTTCGTTTATTTTCTTACTATAAAATAAGTCAGATTCATTTTGAATTAAAATCTATAAACATGGTTTGTTACATTTTTCATAAATTTTATTTAAATATTTTTAAATATTTTATGAAATAGATGATTAATTTTGAAAATATCTTTGGGCCAGGAATAAATAACTAACAAGTTTGCAAGGGAAGATAGGGTAACATAGTACATTCTTAAAAATTATTAATCTTTATTTAGTTTGTTTATAATGATAAGATATCATTATTAACTAACTACAATGCTTAGTACATTATTTTTTTGTTGGATGCTCAAGGCAGGCAAAGAACCCATGTGAGTCCTCATCGCAATTAATGTTATACAATTTAAGTACAAAGAAGATGGAGAATAGTATAGTTTGTGAGGGGAAACTCCAGCAGCTTAATTTGATATGTGGATATATAATAGATGGAGATGGAGAATGGTGGTTTTGAAAATAGTGGGTGTGTGTGGGTAATTACTATGTTTTTTTTATGGTTTTCTTCGTTCATTTTCAAGATATCTGTAGTCCTGTGGAATATATATATATATATATATATATATATATATATATATATATATATATATATATATATATATATATATATATATATATATATATATATATATATATATATATATATATATATATATATATATATATATATATATATATATATATATATATATCATTGCTAGTTTGTTATTTGAGTTAGATTTTATTGAACTCATTTTATCACACACATGCAT